ATTAGCCTTCTATGCACTAGGAAGTGGGCTCTCAGCAGACTGAATCTACTCGCACCTTGATCTTAGACTTTCTGCCTCCAGAACTGTGAGAAATAAATGTTTGTTGTTTGTGTCACCCAGTCTTTGGTACTTTTTTTTTTTTAAATATTTTATTTATTTATTTATTTATCAGAGAGAGAGAGAGAGAGAGCACAAGCGGGGGGGCAGCGGCAGAGGGAGAAGCAGGCTCCCTGCTGCGCACGGAGCCCGATGCGGACTTGATCCCAGGACCCTGCGATCATGACCCGAGCTGAAGGCAGATACTCAATCCACTGAGTCACCCAGGCACCCCCAGTCTTTGGTATTTCTATAATAGCAGCGTGAATGGACTAAGACACTGAGAGTCTAGATTGTGTGTCCCTTCACCATTTATCTTGTGCCTTTTCCTACTCCCCATCTCAGACCCCTCAAACATCATTCATTTAAAACCATGTTGAGGGACACCTGGGTGGCTCAGTTGTTAAGCGTCTGCCTTCGTCTCAGGTCATGATCCCGGGGTCCTGGGATCAAGCCCCGCATCAGGCTCCCTGCTCCATGGGAAGCCTGCTTCTCCCTCTCCCACTCCCCCTGCTTGTGTTCCCTCTCTCGCTGTGTCTCTCTCTGTCAAATAAATAAATAAAATCTTAAAAAATAAAAATAAAACCATGTTGAAAATTACGCATTTCTAAAAAATCCATCAATATTAATTCAATTCAAATCAGGATTTTTCCTAAAGCATTTATTTCTAATACAAAATCGGTCTCCTGTGCTATACTTTTTTTAATTTGGTAAAATCTATATGCTTGGTGTTTGTTTTCAATTTGAACAAGCACTAGTTTTTGTTTGTTTTAAAATAAACTTTACTGGGGTGCCTGGGTGGCTCAGTCAGTTAAGCATCTGCCTTGGGCTCAGGTCATAATCCCGGGGTCCTTGGGATCAGCCTGCATTGGGCTCCCTGCTCAGCAGGGAGTCTGCTTCTCCCTCTCCCTCTGCCCCCCTCCCTGCTTGTGCTCTCTTTCAAATAAATAAATAAAATCTTTTTTAAAAAAATAAAAATAAAATAAATAAAATAAAATAAGCTTTATTAAGGTGGGCACTTGATGGAATGAGCACTGGGTGTGATGTGCAACTGATGAATCACTAAATTCTGCCCCTGAAACTGGTAATACAGTATATGTTAACTAAATTGAATTTAAATACAAAATTTAAAAAAAAAAAAAAAAACCTTTATTTTGGAATAATTTTAGATTAACAGAAAAGTTGCAAAGATGATAGAGAGTTCCTGGTTCCTGTATGCCCCTCAGCCAGTTGCCCTAATGTTACTATCTTACATTAGTATGACCCAGTACTATGGTACATTACTACTAATTAAACCACAGATTTTAGGTGGATTTTATCAGTTTTTCCATGAATGTTCTATTTATTGCTCCAGGATCCAACCCCAAATATCACTGCATTTAGCATAATGCCATTTTCACACCTACCAAAAATGACTAATTCCTTAATCTCATCAAATACCCAGTCATTACCCCCATTTCCTTGGTTGGCAGATACGTCTTGTAAGTTTCTTGGAGTCTGTAACAGTTCTGCCTCCTTCTTTGTGTTTTCCTGCCACTTATTTATGGAAGGAACTGGATCATTTGTCCTGAAGACCATTCCACACTTTGGGTTGGGCTGACTGCATCCCCCACGGTGTTGGTTTAGGATGCTCCTCTGTCCTCCATATTTCCTGTAAAGAGGTATCTAGATCTAGCATGGGGGTTGGTGAAATTTTTCTCTAAAGATCCAGATAATAGATATTCTAGGCTTTGCAGGTCATATGGTTTCAACTCCGCCACTGTGAGGCAAAAGCAGCCATTGACAATAGGTAAACAAGTGGGTGTGGCTGGGTCTCAATGAAACTTTATTTACAAAATCAGGTAAAGGGCTGGATTTGGCTGGGAGACCATAGTTTGATGATCCCTGATCTAGAGGATCAATCAGATTGGGGTTTAGTGGTTTTGTTTTGTTTTTTAAGAATAATTCTTTGACAGGGCTGGGTATCTCCTGTGGCTTCATCGGGTGGCCTATCACATCTGGTTGTCTCTTTTAGTGATGTTGCATTTGTAGGGGTTCTGCTGTTACCAGCTTGATCCATCCATCATGAAGGTCTCCATTGGTGGACTGTATTTCAACCTTCCTCTCTCTTCTGTGGTCGGGAGCACTTGTGCAGTGCATGCCTTGAACAACCACACATGAGCACCTCTGTCCAACATTTGTTATTCCCCTTGGCGTCTTTGGTTTCAAACAGCACATAAAATAGTAGCCCTAAAGGTTCTTAGAGTGCCACAAACTACTACTTGGTAAAGAAAAAGTTTCCAGGGGGAGCCTGGCTGGCTCAGTTAGTGGAGAGTGAGACTTGATCTTGGGGTTGTGAGTTCCGGCCCCCCGTTATGTATAGAGATTACTTAAAAATAAAATCTTAGGGGCACCTGGGTGGCTCAGTCGGTTAAGCATCCAACTCGATTTCAGCTCAGGTCATGATATCAAGGTCATGAGATCAAGCCCCATGTGGGGCTCTGCGCTCAGTGCACAGTCTGCTTGAAATTCTCTCTCCCTCTCCCTCTGCACCTCCCCCAGCTCATGTTTGCTCTATCTAAACAAACAAATAAATAAAATCTTTTTAAAAATAAATAAAATAAAATCTTTAAAAAAAAAGGAAAAGTTTTCAGATTTCTTGAGGAAACACAGATTCTGGATTCCTCTGGATCAGAGGTGTACAGACTGCAGGGTTTTTTTTCCCAAAGATTTGTTTATTTAAGAGAGAGAGAGAGTGAGAGCAAGTGGAGGGAGGGGCGGAGGGAGAGAATCTTCAAGCAAACTCCCTGCCGAGTGCTGAGCCGGGAGCCTGGAGTGGGGCTTATCCATGAGATCATGACCTCAGCCAAAACTAAGAGTTGGACACCCAACAGACTGAGCCACCCAGCTGCCTCCAAGTTGCAGTTTTCACTTTCCACAAAAATGAATTCCTTGCTAACTTTTAAAATCTGGAAGATTTTATGTAAAAATCTGGTTTTTCCAGTCCTCTTGGAAAATGAAGGAATCTGGCTGCTTTGGACCAGGTGTGTCAAGAACTGACTGGAACTCAGAGTGACTGCCCCCTTTACATTAGGCACACACTAAGGAATGGTGGGGATTGCAGCATCCTGCAAAGGCACATGCCCTGTCATTTACCACTTGAGTGCCTGTGAGCTTCTCTGGCCACTTTAAAATGAGTTGCTAGTGTTTTGGTATTCAATACATTTACATCACCTACTCCTCTCCAAGTTGTCCCATTCCCCTCCCCACTTATATCTCCCACACCCCCAACATTCATTGGTTTCTTGTATGTCTTTCCAGAGCTACTTCATTACAAACACATGAAGGGTGCAGCAAGCACTAGTTTTGATGGAAAATCTGAAATGGTATTTTCTAGTACTTCCAAAGCTATTACCAAAGTCATATTCCATTAAGAGGAAACCCCTTTCTTATTCATTCATCTAACAAAAATTTATTGACCTTTTAACTACTCCTAGGCTCTGGGGACACAATAATGAAAAAGCCAAATATGGTCCCTGGCCCAATGGAATTTACGGTTGGAATATTATTCAAAATAGAAGAGAGAGAAGATGACTGACCCAGGGATGCCTTCTAGATATAATTTTTATAAACAGTGCGCTACCTTCAAAGGAGAGTTACCAGCGTGCACATTCTCTAGCTAGATGACAAAAAAGTATATTTATAATCTTTGTAATGCCATCAACAGAAAGTAAAACCTATGAATATTCCAATGGAGGAAAACAGGATCATGTTCTATATTCAAAAATTACCAGATGACATTTTTCTTACCCTGCCAAAACAAGAGAATTAGAGAGGTCTAGGGCTGTTCTGGAGGCCACCCGGCCATGGGCATCTTGCCTTTGGAATCTGGAATTCCTTGCTAAGCTAGAGGCAATCTGGAAGTAGCTCAGCCTGACCCAAATGAAAACCTTGGGTAAATTCCTCCTTGCTGGGGCGCCTGGGTGGCTCAGTTGGTTAAGTGACTGCCTTCGGCTTAGGTCATAATCCTGGAGTCCCGGGATCGAGTCCCACATCGGGCTCCCTGCTCGGCGAGGGGTCTGCTTCTCCCTCTGACCCGCTTCCCTCTCGTGCTCTCTGTCTCTCATTCTCTCTCTCAAATAAATAAATAAAATCTTAAAAAAAAAAAATTCCTCCTTGCTTTTTTATGCCTGTGATCCTTGGGCACCACCAAAATTGCAAATGCTGGCTGGCCATCAACAATCCAACAACTTCCTCAAAGCCATTCCACCCTTCCTCCTTTCTTTATCCATTCCTTGACACTTTTCTCTCTCCCATTTTCACTGCATAGTCTGGAACTCTTAGTCCATGATAAACAAAGTCAACTCCTATGGCTGCCACTTGTTCCCTGAACACTCACTCCACCTCCTGCTGCTAATTGAAAGCAGGCTCTCTTCTCTACAACACTATGTCCCATAGAGTCATCTCAAGGCAATTCTTTCTACTAGAGTTTGCATATTGGGCTGGAGTGAGGGTAGGGAAAACTGTATTACCGTTCTCCTTACTCCAACCACCCCCCCCCCACACACACACTGCATTTTCTAAACCAGCGGCTGGCAAACATTTACTTTAAAGTACCAGATAGGAAATATTCTAGGCATTGTGGGACATACTGGCTCTGTTGCAACTACTTGACTCTACTGTTGTAGCTTGAAAGCAGCCATAGACAATATGCAAACAAATGGGCATGGCTGTGTTCCAATAAAACTTTATTTACAAAAACAGGCAGCGAGACTAGATTTGACCCAAGAGAAGTTTGCTAACCTGTACTATAAACTATTAATCTTTCCAGCTCCTATAAAACAAAACAAATCCCTTCTTACTTGAAAAATCACATTAACTATATACCCCACCTTACCTCTCCCTTGCTCCTGTCATGTACTCACCTCCCGGTCCAGCCATGTTTATTAAGGATCCTGGCATCCGGCTCATAGGTCACTTCTAGTCCCACCATCATCCTGGATGATTCCTAAATCCATAAGGATAATCAATGTAACACCACAGCCTCACAGTGCCTTGACTTCCTCAATTCCAATGACTTTCATCCCCATTCCATGTCAATAACCTACTCCTTTGGGAAATATTACACCTTTGATACCTTCACATCAATATCCCATGCAGAACACAAATTCTTATCCTACAGACTTTCCAACACTTTACTCCCCAATAAATCTGCTCTTTGACCTGAGAACCCCTCCATTTTCTCCCAGTTAGGTGGCCCCCACCTGGCCTCACTTTCCTCCTCCCCAGTCTGAACACACCATGGTCAATCACTATTCTCTCTTGCTGCTTCCTCAATCACCTTGAGCTGCCTTCTTCTCACTGTTCTTTTACTATCAACACCATACCATACTCCCCAGTCAATTCAATCACCAAATTTCTCTGATCCTTTAGCCAAATGGCTGAACGTACTTGGAGAATACTATCCCACTGTATGAATGTGAGACACAGAAACTTGTGATTTTAAATCTTATCTGGTCCCTCACTACCTCTAGTCTATCTTTTTCAATGGTTTTTGTTTAACTCCCCTATCATATTAACCTTAGACAAGACAACATAATGCTATAAAGAGATTGCAAATAAATAAATAATCCAAAAAAAGAGAGAGAGATTGCAGGCTTAAAAACCAAACAGCGTTGGGTCTGAAATCTGGTTCCACTTATTAGATGTATGGTCTTGAGCAGGTTATCTAACATCCTATTACATCAGTTTTTTCATGAGAAAAATGGAAAGAATTCCTACTTTATATATTAAATAAGATTACATATGTAAAACAATTAGCACAGTGCCTTACACCCAGCAAGTGCTCAATAAATGATAGCTATTAATACAAGCTCATATTCAGCAGGTGACTATACCTACTTCACCAAGACCATTAAGTGTTTCTTAGCCCAAGTTCCCCAGAAAGCAGAGCAATGGTTGATGTGCTATTTGGTTGAATTGTACGAAATTGCTGACATTCAACTGTTTGACATACAGAAATCAAAGGCTTCAGCCTCATCTGTTATTAGGGAGTGCAATCCCAGGAAAGCAATGGGGAGAGACAGTGGGAAACGAAAGAATAAGAGAGTCAATACGAAGGTGCATTGGTATCACACTTGAGGTCATGGGGTACCATTTTTTGAAAGATCATAAATACATGACTTGCATCTCTGATCAGTCGACAAGGAGGATGGAAAGAGAGTTTAACAGCTAGCTCTTGTCTTTTATTAGCCAAAGCTTTGCACCACTGGGTCAGGTTAACTCCTCTACACTGTGCATGGAGTCTCGACACCCACAGGAAAGCACCAGGGCGTGTGATGAGAAGCTGGCAGATTGCACTTGTCTAAGTCCATCAGAGCCTACTCAGAGAAGGGGCTGGGACACACAAGCAATAGGCCAAAGACCACTGAGACAAATAAGGCCAAGAGGATCTGAACTGGTAAGAGGTGGCTGATAGAACACATGAATTCCCTCAATTTTTTTTTACTCTGCACTTTCCTATAACTGTAATTCACTCTTCCTTTTGGTCAGAGGAAGGGATATCCCTCCACTCATTTAGGCCTAAAGCCAACTCCCACCTATGCTCTCCATCTTGATCCCTCCCACCTCCAGGATCTTTTACTTTCAACTTCCCCCACTTTCCTGATCCTTTCCTCTCTACCTTTGTACCATCTTAGGGCTCTCCTTAAAATATCCTTCCTTTACTTCACACAGGCTTCTAACTACTTCCTTTTCTCTTTCCTTTCTTTCTCAGCAGAATATCTTAAATGAATAATCCAAAGTTACTATCTCTACTTTCTCACCTCGGAACCATATGAACAGATCTCATCACTGTCTTATAACACCTTTGCTGAGGTCACCAATGACCTCCATTTGACCATATCCCTTAGACATAATTTTGGCTCTATCTCTCTTGCTTTCACTGCAGCATTTGGTCCTGTTGACCCCTCCATTCTTACTGAGATTCTTGGTTCAGTTACCATGCCACCATTATTTGTTGCTTCTCCTAATTCTTTGGCTGGTCTCTTTCCTCTCAGCCTCTATCTGATCCTTAAGAGTCAATGTTCCCGGGGCGCCTGGGTGGCTCAGTTGGTTAAGCCACTGCCTTCAGCTCAGGTCATGATCCTGGAGTCCCGGGATCGAGTCCCGCGTCGGGCTCCCTGCTCGGCGGGGAGTCTGCTTCTCCCTCTGACCCTCCCCCCTCTCATGTGCTTTCTCTCTCTCATTCTCTCTGTCTCAAATAAATAAATAAAATCTTAAAAAAAAAAAAAAAAAAGAGTCAGTGTTCCCAAGAATTCTTTCCTCAGCCTCCTTCTCCTCTTACCCCACACACGCTCCCAGGAGGTTATCATCTAGTCCCCGGATTTCAAGTATCACTATGTGCTGATGACTTCCAAAGTTGTATCTCCAGCCAGAGCTCTCCCTGCACACTCATCTTGTAAATGCCCACCAAGCAGCTGGATATATCCACCAAAGCAAGATACATCCAGCTGCTTGATGGGCACCTCAAACAGGCACCTCAAATTCAACATATTACCACCGGAACTCATTATATTCCCAACCACCTCCACCTTAATCTTGTGCACAAAATTAATCTGCAGATAATGCCTGCTATCCTCATTACACTTTGCATTTTATTCAACGATTAATGCTTAGGCACCTACTCTATGCCATATAGTGTTCCAGATACTTGCTCTGATCTCTTTGGCTCGCCATACGCCAGCACCTGCTATTTGTTCCTGGACCCTTCATTTGAGCTACTCTGCCAGGGGCACCTGGGTGGCTCAGTCGTTAAGCATCTGCCTTCGGCTCAGGTCATGATCCCAGGGTCCTGGGATCGAGCCCCGCATTGGGCTCCCTGCTCAGCGGGGAGTCTGCTTCTCCCTCTCCCTCTGCCTGCTCATGTTCTCTCTTTTTCAAATAAATAAATAAAATCTTCAAAAAGATAAAATAAAATAAATTCCTCTATCAGTGAAGGATTTGGGCACTGGGAAAAGAATTTTTCATAGAAAAAACCCTGGACCCCTGGAACCACTAAGGTCAGCTGAAGTATTTGCACCAGGGTAGGGCTCTTGTCCAAAGGGCCATACCCTCCACACCACCCAGCTCAGGGCATAAGGGAACATGCAGTGGGGGATGGAGAGGATGATAAGGAGTAGCCATCTGTTCAGTGTGGCTCCTTTAACAAGCTATACCTATTCCTACCAGGAAGTACCAGGGACTACATAAAATATGTAGCCAATAACTTCTACCACACTTCGTTCAAAGATTAAATCCTGAATTTTCCAGCCTAACACACACCTTCCATCCCATTCTCTCTCTTAAGTCTTCCAGCCACAGACTTTAGTTTTTGTCCATACTACGTCCTGAAGTGGATACAGAGAGTTGAATCCCAGGTCATGGTTTTGGCACTTTCGAGTTAAAACTCTGTTACGGGGCACCTGGGTGGCTCAGTCGGTTAAGTGTCTGCCTTTGGCTCAGGTCATGATCCTGGGGTCCTGGGATTGAGCCCCTGCGTTGGGCTCCTTGCTCAGCGGGGAGCCTCTGCCCTTCCCCACTGCTCGTGCTTTCCCACTCTCTCTCAAGCTGTCTCCCTCTCTCAAATAAATAAATAAAATCTTAAAAAAAAAACAACAACAGGGGCGCCTGGGTGGCTCAGATGGTTAAGCATCTGCCTTCGGCTCAGGTCATGATCCCAGGGCCCTGGGATCGAGCCCCGCATTGGGCTCCCTGCTCCTTGGGAGCCTGCTTCTCCCTCTGCCTCTCTCTCTCTGTCTCTCATGAATAAATAAATAAAATCTTAAAACAAAACAAAACAAAACAACAGCCCTGTTACTGGTTCCAACAGTGTTCTGACCTAGCTGTCCTGCCTCAATGGCTGACACTCAAAAACAAGTGAGTAGGGGCGCCTGGGTGGCTCAGTCATTAGGCATCTGCCTTCAGCTCGGGTCCTGATCCCGGAGTCCTGGAATTGAGCCCTGCATGGGGCTCCCTGCTCAGCGGAGAGCCTGCTTCTCCCTCTCTCACTCCCCCTGCTTGTGTTCCCTCTCTCGCTGTGTCTCTGTCAAATAAATAAATAAAATCTTTAAAAAAAAAAAAAAGTGAGTGAAATGGGTGGTTAGGCAAGATTACGAAGGGCCTTGAACATCAGATTGTGAACCATGGACTTAAACTAGTAGGAAGTAGGCAGTCTGAAGTTTCTAAGCAAAAAAGCAAGAAGATGAAAACAAAAGCCATGTTTTAGAATCTGGTACGAAGAAATAGTAGTGAAGGCTGAGGAGGAAGACTGAATGCACGGAAATCTATTAGAAAGCTATTTCGGAATCCAGAAATGAGGTAATCAGCCCAGCCAAGGCAACCACACCTGCCTCATCTCTTCACTCCTAATCCCTTGCCCAACAGACTCTAAATGAGGATCCACAGCCAGCATGGGAGGACAGATGGCTATATTTGGAATAAGTTCAGAACATCATAATGACCATAATGATTGACATCACTACAGGTCACTCTTTTGATGGTTTAAATTTTTAAAAAGAGGTCCTTTGCCAATTCAACATAAATGTCTGAAGTGTCCCCTTCACTTTGAGCACTAGAATTTCAGGCTATTTACTAGGGCACTGCCAAGAACAGGATGACTATCTCCTAAATTGTCCATGCCTTACTTTGCAAATTGTCCCTCATTAGGCTCTCATTTTATAATTGAAAAAAATTTTTTTAATTCTCTAAAGGCTCACACAGCTTTCATGGTTAACAGTCCTGAAACAGAGGTGTTAATTATACCTCTAGATCTGACAAAAACTAATATGAAAATGTTTGTAATAACATTTAGCCAATCAACTAGAGCTTTATTTGCTCATTTAAGGAAAGAGATTTTACTCATTTGTTCCTATATATAACTGACTTCTCATTTGATTCCTACCACCAATGGTCCAGGTCTACTGTAATCAAAGTATAAAATGTGGGGATGGAAAGAGTGGTACACAGTCT